GTGTTCATGTTAATCTTGAGATTTTTTTTTTTTCTTATTTTTACGATTCATTCGAACGTTTGTGCGACGATCAGTCTTCCATTCCGATTCTTTTCGTTAAGAAAATAATCACGTAATTAGAAGTTCGAAAAAAGATATATGAAAATATCTAAAAAAAAAAAAAAAAAAAAAAATCAAATTAAGATTTTTAATATAAATTTTCATAAAAATTGTCTTTCAACGCGTTTGAAATCTTTCATTTTTTTATATACACGATATTTTTATTTTTATTTTTTTATTTTTTTTTTTATTTTTTCAGGAAAATATTTATCATGTAAAAACAGAATTAAACGTATAAACAATATATATTGGTTTGTAATGGTCTTAAACGAAAAAAAACAAAAAAACAAAAAAAAAACAAAAGAAAAAATAAAAAATTCAATTCTTCCAGATTTTCCCCTTTAAAGCATCAATTTTAAAGACAGAACCAATTTCAACTCAATCTTTTCTTCTTTCTTTTTGTTTCGAAATTGGATTTTTACCACTTTGAAAAATAATGGCTCGTATACATATGTACGTATACATAGACTATTTCAAGGTGTCCGAATGAAATCCGATAACCATCATTACTAACGAAGAGTTATGAACGGATCTAATCGGTGAGAAAACTCGGAAAAGTCATGCAGCATCGAAAAACGACAAAAAAAAAAATAGAATCAACGAATCAAAGAGTCTACGAAAGAAAAAGAGAAAGGAAAAAGTAACACAAACACACACATACACACACACACTTACTACTCTTAAATTGCAGATTTGTACATACGTATTTTTTAATTCTTTTTTTCACTTGTTTCCTCTATTCTTCCTTCTAATCTCGTATTAGAAATTATTTATCCTACATTCCCCGTCTCAATCAATCCATCAATCAATCAATCAATCAATCAATCAATCAAACAATCAATCAATCTATCTATCTATCCATTCTATCCTTTTCTTTCATAATCTATCTATGCTTTCCTTCAACTCATTATCCTCCACTTGGGTAAAACTTCAGCGATCAAGGTGGAAAAGTATGTCGTTACGTTGTAGACGACTGTTTCACCAGCGGCCAAAATAGCTCCAAATGAGCCGTACGTGCCGTAGTCTATGATACTATGATTACATACGGACAAGACTGCAAGATCCTTACCGGGTCCTTTACCATCTGCTTCCGAGACGAAACTCATTTTGTGACGTTTGCTACGTAGATTGTGTTTGCACCAGTCTATATTGTCGCTTGTAACAATGAATACGACGTTATCATATTTACCGACGAAGTAATCCATAGCTGCGAAGTAATAACTGATAGGCGCTGGTCTGACTTTTAGTTTTTGCCATAGATAATCGACGTAATCGGTCCTCCTAACATGTACGCTCACGTAAGTTGGCTGAGACAGATTAAATGTTTCAGCGACATCACGTAGTACCGTTTCGGCGTTTGCTCTTAAGCTTGCTTTGAATGTAAATTCACGGCGTACATCGTCCAACCAGACAAGAATCAAAGACCAGTATGCTGCATGCCTGTCAATATAATATACTTATATACTATCTTGTATATATACTACTTTACTAACATTAATTATCGTAACGTTAAGTATTATTTCTTTACAACGTAATTACTTCCTAAGGTGTATAATATTTACATATATTATAGTTAAATCATTAACATGAACATTTCGTAAGATCGATTAATTCATCGACAAAAAAAATTCGACAATATCTCACGTACGACTTAATAATCGTATCATTTAATAATAACTAAATATGTATATTTAACATTAACGATAATAATCTGACCAATCATATATAATATATTGAAATCAAATAGTCGCGTTTTACTTTAACATATACTTTATTATTTAATTTAAAAAATTAAAGATTAAATATAAAGAATAATATACCTCGGTATAATGATGTTCTGTTCGGTACTGTTCCATTGACCAAGCGAATTGACAACTTGGCCAACGTCGAGAGTACATCTTCCGATATAACTCAAAGGTGGTATACTGAGATTTTCAAAATGTTCCTCGAGTGTCTTTAATATGCAACGAGGCATAAACGGTTCTAAACCGGTTCTTCTAGCGGTTGCCCATACCGAGGCGTATTCCCAAATTTGATTACCGAGTCGGCCACCTTGGACAGCCGTGACAATTCCATATTTTGGACAAGGATTCCTCCATTCTGGTGGTACTCGGACACTTTTCAGATTGGTCCGACATAATGCTTGCTCGTACGATGAGATCTTCGTGTGCCTTGACGCCGGACTGGAGGTGTACATGGGAAAGAGGAAGACGTGGATGCCGAAGACCACTATCAGAGCGAGGACTATGGCGCTCGCAAGCACATGCTGTTGAGCGTGGCTCATTCTCTCTCTCTCTCTCTTTCTCTCCCTCTTTCCCTCTCTAAATCTCTTTATCCTCTTTCTAATATCTTTCTCTTGCTTTAATACATTCAACAATTTTACTTCTTTCTCACTTTCTCACACACACTCTCTCTTTCTCTCCCTCTCTCTCTCTCTCTCTCTCGTCCTTTTTCTAACTTTCTTTATTCTCTTTTTTTATATCTTTCTCACTTTAATACATTCAACAATTTCTTTCTTTCTTTCTCACTTTCACTCTCACTCTCACTCTCTCTCTCTTTCTTTTATTCCACTTTTCTTAACAATTTTTCAACACTCTCCCCCTCCCTCTCTCTCTCTCTCTCTCTTTCTCTTTTCTTTATAATCTTCTCAATATCATTCTTATCTCAACATTCAACAATTTTCTTCTTTCTCTCTCACTTTCACTCTAACTTTGACTCTCTCTCTCTCTCTGTTTCTCTTTCTTTCTTTCTTTCTCTACCGAATGCACCTCTGGCCTATGCTCTCTTTCTACTGCTCGATTTGCTTTGCTTGTAAATTCCTTTCCTCCCTTTTCTTCTTACTTTTGTATTATGAAAACTTTTCAATTATAATTATAATTATAATTATAATTATAATTATTACAATTATTATTACTCTTTTTTTTTTCTATAGCGCACTACCCGCTGTCCATCTCACGCTCTAGTCCGGCATATCGGTATCTACAGGCGTGCCGTGTCCCTCGCTTTCCTATGTACATCTTTTGCAATGATAATATTGTTAATAGTAATTACGTTCGTGAACTATACGTATGTTATGTATGATATAAGCGGGTGGAAGAAGAAGCATTGAGAGAGGGCCGGCCGTGCGGATTACGTGAGCGTGCAAATTTATATGGAAAACGTTGGGTGGACTTGCGGGTGGGATTGTGAGTGGGGTGACAAAGTCGTATGTATGTATGTATGTATGTATGTATGTATGTGTGTGTGTGTGTGTGTGTGTGTATGTGCGTGCGCGTAGTTTTGTCGTTTAAAACCTCTGAAACGCATATGCATGCCAGAACATATAATATTACGAGAGAAATTACGAATGACGTAAGGCAATTCGTTCTAAACGTTCTCTTTTTTCTTTTTGATTAAATGGAAAAAAAAAGAAAAAAGAAAAAGAAAAAAATTTTTTTAAATTAATAAATAAAAACCTTCGTCTTATATCGGAATTTGTATAGAAAAAGTGAAATTTTGTATGATGTCAATGACTATTATCCGATTGATGAAATTTCATAATAACAGTTACGTATTGTTAATTCTTATCGATCGATAATCATTGTCGATCGAGCCTCAAGAAATTCATTTCTTCGATATGAAAGTGCAACGATACATCTTTGAGCGCAATTAAATGACGAAAGTCGTCAAAGATAGGAAACGGATAATAGGCGTAGCATTTTCAGCCACGTAGAGCTCGGTAAATCAAATCGAAGATTCTATCTCGGTCGCGTGAGTGAGTGCGTGCGATCACGAATGTGTGGACTTTCTCATAGCTATATGTATGTATGTATATATATATATATATATATATATATATATATATATATATATATATACATATATGTATGTACATATATATGTATGTATGTATGTATGTATGTATGTATGTATGTATGTATGTATGTATGTATGTATGTATGTATATATGTACGTATTACGCAGCTCGCTAGAAAGCAGGATAGAGATATATCTTTGATTGGGGGTGAGCTTCGTCCCGGCAAATTTTTTCTTTCGTATTTTCCGTGACGTCTCGCTTGCGATCAAACGTGACGAGAGAACGTATAAAAAGAAAAAGAAAAAGAAAAAGAAAAAGAAAAAGAAAAAGAAAAAGAAAAAAAAAAGAAATAGAAAAGAAAAGAAAAGGAAGATGACAGAAATTAAATAAGGGAATATTAAATAAACGAAGGAAAGGAAAGAGAAAGAGATGGTAAAATGTATGGGAAAGAAGAGACAGGCAGAGAGAGAGGAGAGAGAGAGCGAGAGAGAGAGAGAGAGAGAGAGAAATGATGAGGAAAAAAGAAAAAGAAAAAGAAATATAACAAAATCCAATAGAAAAGAAAAAGACGGAAAGAAGGACGGGGGAGAAAGAGAGAGAGAGAAATATATTGAAAGACGAAGAGAGATATAGAAAAAGGAAACTATAACAAATATAACAAAGATAGATAGATAGAGATAGAGATAGAGATAGAGATAGAAAGAGAAAGAGAAAGAGAGAGAAAGAGAAAGGGAGGGTGCATTGTGCAAAAGCGCCGATCGTGCGTGGGAATTAAATTGAGTATGAAAGCCCATTTTTACGGTTGACTTACCCGTGCCGTCTAGCTGGTTTTCGCACGTTATCGTACGTCCAGAAGAAGGACGGCGTTCCGTGGAAAAGCGATAGCTTAGTCGTCGGTCTCTCAGTGTCATGTTTTCCCGGCTAAATCGATGCCCGGTCTCGCGCGCCGCTCGAGAACGCTTGTTGCTTGTCCTCGATGGCTCCTTCGCGACGACAGTAGTCGAGCCGGTTGTTAGCCGAGTGAATGAGAGCGAGGGAGCGATTGAGTGACTAACAACAACGACGATTAATAATATCAGATGAACGTGATAATGAAGAAGACGAGCCACTATATTTTTCTCCTTTCATTTTCTCTTTTATTTATTTATTTATTTATTTATCTTTTTTTATTTTCTTATAACTCTTCAACGGTCACTTCAAACGAACTCATTGACTGTCATCGTCGTCGTCATCATCGTCCTCGTCTTCTTCTTCTTCTTCTTTTTCTTTTTCTTCTTCTTCTTCTTTGTTGTTGTCGTCGTCGTCGTAATCGTCGTCGTTGTTCTCGACAAAAATGTTGTTGTTGTTCCCGTGTGTCTGATTAAACGTCCACGGTTACCACTTAACACGGCCGTTATCACGTCCTCGAGAATAAAAAGAAGGAACACGGCGTGCCTCTCGACTAGCTTCCATCCTTTCGAGATGTTGTTTCCACAGTCCAGAGATATGACGTCATAGGGAGCTCTCGACGCCACCTTCACCACCACTGTTACTACTACCACCACTAACACTATCACTACCAGCACCACCACTACCACAACCACTACGACTACGACTACTAGCACCAGTACTACCACCACCGATATTACTGCCACCACTATTACAATCACCACCCCCACTTCCATCGAAGATCGTCGTCGATTAACCTCCCTGCTTCTACTTCATCCCTCTCATCCATGTATTTCGCAGTTCACGCGAAGGGTAGTAACATCTCATAGTTCGATCTTGTGCTTCCCTCCTGTGGAAAAAATGATTCAGCTTTATAATTGAACGTTCGTCGGTATTATAGTTTCCTACAAAAATTTACCATCTATCGATATTATCGACGTTTTACCCTCGTAGCTAACGTAGATTTCTATATTATTCACTGAAGATATTTATTTTTTTTTCTTTCTGGAGAACGTTAAAGAAATCGTGTTGTCGATTGTAATTGCAGGATAATATTATTACGTTTGGAATATCATTGTATAAGATTTTATAGAATCCAATAACTCTGTGCATTGTTGATTGTTTAATAATAAACAAATACGTACTTTTTCTTAACTTTAATGATCACCGAGTTAGTTTTTTTTTTGTACTCCGACGCGTGAACTTCAAAATTCACTCTTTATAAACGTGAAAACTTATAAATCAATACTTACAATAATTTCTCAAATGTAACAATGATACTTTCTAAAGTCTTTAATATAAACGAAATATAATAAACTAATATATAAACAATAATACGTTCGCTTAAATAATATAGTGATTGAAATGAGTTTATAATAGTAGAATACTGTTTCGCGTCGATCAAAATAAATCGAAAATAATAAATACCTGTTTGGTTGAATAATGATAAAATATATTTATTTTTTATATCAAATTGATAATGAAAAATTCTGTTTTATCGATTGTCAATAATCTAAAGTTTTGTTCTATCCATATGTCGATAAAGTAGATATCTTTGTAATGACCAGGTAATAGTAAATTACGTTTTACCGATAGAGTTACTCTTCGAATGCAAGTTGATTACGTTTATTAGCATATTCATTGAAAAGTATCAAAACATTAGGCTTTTTTGCACAATAGACGCTACACGCTTGAGTCTATCGGCTTGTATATTTATTGAAACAAGTGTCCATTTACACATGATTTTTTTGAATTGTTTAAAAATAATGAACGATAAAGAAAATAAAGAACAATGGAAATGAGATTTATTCGATATCACGATTTAAATGAATTGCAAATTAATGAATTTTTCGTAGATTATATTTGATATTTTATTTAATTTAAAAAAGGGTTCATACTCGAAAGAAAATCACCAACGTGTATCTCGGTTTTCTCTCCATTCAATTTTCATCCCCATCGTATATCATAGCTATATACGTAATCTTACTTTATCCCGCATTCGATCAACGTTTCTGCCCCCACAATATTGTTTGAGATATTGGTCCTCGCACGTTTTTCTTATCCTCGATACGGCACAAAGGAAATCGTGTCTCGTTTAAAGCCAAGGATCAAGATCGTCGATCCTTGAAGATGATCGAAATTTTGAGTTTAAGCTCGAGATGTGAGAGAGATGGAGAAAGAGGGAATAGAATGAGAGAGAGAGAAAGAGAAAGATTGAGTCGAACGTTTCTAACCCATCGAAACTTTTCGGATATCTGATTTGAAGTAACGACCGATATCGTCGTTTTCTCGATAAATTTGATGTTCTTGTAGCTTTTTCAAAATCCACGAGCGAACTTTTTAAAGATGTATTTCATGTATGTGTATGTGTGTACGTGTGCGCGTGCGCGCTTTTATATATATATATATATATATATATATATATATGTTTTAATATACATAGATATGTGTGTGTGTGTGTATATATATATATATACACATTTTTAAAATTTTATTACACATATATGTACATACGTGTGTATGGATGTATTATAAGATGCGACGGAAAATGTATTTTCAACGTTCTCGATCGTTCGGGATACTTTATTTTATTTGTTTCCTTCTATAAAGAGTTTATTTAGCTATCTTCTTGCATCGTCGATAAGAGAGTTATAGGATGATTTTCTCGTTAAGGAAAG